TAACGGATTTTAACGCCGAGCGGACACGCGACACCGGCCTGCCTGCCTGCCTGCCTGCCGGAATTAAAACCGACTCCGCTCCTTCCTTCCCGCTTTTATTAATCCCTTAATGGTCGGTCGAGTTTAACGAAATTTTCTCGAAAAAAAAAAAAACAGTTTTTCGAAATAATATATTAATCTCTCGTTGCTCGTTTATTTATAACGCTCAACAACGAGATTAATTCTTCTTCGTTCGAGAATTAAATATTAACGCGCTGTATTAATTTTTACCAATAAATTAAAAAGAATGTGAAAATACAATATACATTATTCTCTTTCCTTTTCTTTTAAGATAAAAACTAATACGAAATTTTTTTATAGCAATTAAACCATATCCATAATATGAATATTTCCAATCTAAATCTTCCATTTTGTTTTGTTTCAGGTAAGTAGATCCGGAGATCCGAAGTATAACCGGAAAGAAAAATAGCGTAAAAGCAAAAAGCGCTCGGTGAGTCGAAATCACGAAATGAAACAATTTTTAGAGGGGGGGAGGGTGGGAATCGATTGAGAAGGAAAACAAACAGCCGCGTGAATATCTATCGGCTCGTCAATTCGGTTTTGAGCGCAGTTAGTTTCGGTGGAACGGACGTGAAAATGAAGGAGGAAGAGGCAGCCACGATTCGGCCTCGGTTGTGCGTAAATCATTAGCTTTATCAGCCTCATACGGTCCGCACCGGCCGCTTTATCTATCGTAACGGACGATATATACGTCCGATTCGGCGAGAAAGCCGGGGGGAAAAATGTTTGAAACAATGGACATCCGCGACCGTGTTCCCGTTTTCGTTCGTTTCAGACTCCCGTTTTCGAAAAATTTGGAACAGGGCACGCCACACGTGGCCGAGACCCAATCGAAACTGTCCATCAAGCTAACGAGAAAATTTGTTCCCGGTTAAACATTCATCCTGAATTTAAATTTCCCCGCGCGATACGATGAAAGTCGGTGACTGATCTCTACGATTGATAAACGAAACTAATTTTCCTGGAAAAAAAATTCCACGTTCTCTCGGTATATATATATATATATATTTGTGTTGAATTTTTTTGGAAAAATTTTCTTTTATTGGATGACAATTTTTATTAGTCAATGATTACATAATAGGGACTTTTTATTGATTAACAATCAACAGAAAATTGTTCGATATTCATTCAGAAATTCAATATTCGTTTTTTGAAAAATATCTCGCTGCATGATATACTTTCCATAATAAATGTTAGATTTCTTTATTTAAGATTTTCTAAATTTTTGAGAATAAAGTGTATTCTCAAACGAGAAAATACGCATAAAATTATGAATCGATAGATTCTTATGGCCGTACAATAATTAACCAAATCTCCCTCGCTCGACAAACCACCAAAATTAATTTTCCCCATCTTCTTTCACGTATCAGCAAGTTCAACGCTCGTTCGAGAATCCTTCAACGCTCTCGACATCGTAAATAATTTAAACGATATAATACCACGCGTATGATAGTAGAGACGTAGCCTTTCCACAAGCACGTGATTGTTTCGAATCATCGATCGATTAGTACGGTTCTCGAACAAACAAAAACCGGTGGATCTCGAGCCTCTCGTACAGAGCTACACCAGCGCCAAACAAAACACGCCACGCGCTCTCCACGTACGCGCATGCGCATGCTCGTTTTCGTAGCATTCACGCGTATACATAACCTTCT